CACAAACCATTACTTGGCATTTTGGCGGGAAATAAACCGACTCCCCACATCTTATCGCCAAGAATGACACGCTGGTCAGAGTTTCTAGCCGCATATGATTACCAACTGCTACACCAACCGGGAAAAGCCATTCCCCACGCAGACGCTTTGAGCCGCTCTCCATTACCAGAAGTCCTAGATGATCCAGCTCCAACCTTATCTACACTACAAATCGAGACACTTCCTTCACCACCGCTGACTGCACAAGACATCGCCTCGGAAACAAGGAAGGACCCTTGTTTGTCACGAGTCCTCAGCTGGGTGGAAAGAGGTTGGCCTGACAACCAACCCAACGACACCTTTAAGCCTTTCAAACACAGGCAGACAGAACTGTTCTCCCAAAAAGGATGTGTCCTATGGGGAGACAGAGTCATAATCCCAGAGAGACTACAACATAAGGTCCTAAAACTATTGCATGATGGACATCCGGGCATCGTGCGAATGAAGGCACTGGCACAGAGTTACGCTTGGTGGCCAGGTATAGATAAACAAATAGAAACCTGGGTGGCAACCTGCAACAAGTGCCAGGAAACTCGCTCCGCTCCACCAAAAGCACCACTGACAGAATGGGAAGCACCCCGGGGTCCCTGGCCACGTATCCGCATCGATTTTGCGGGACCCACCAAGGGGCATACATTTCTCATAACTGTGGATGCCTATTCTAACTGGCTTGAGGTCCACAAAATGAAGAGCACCAACACAGAGGCAGTCATTAAAAAGCTAAACAGACTATTTGCTACACACGGCTTGCCAGATGTCTTGGTCTCAGACAATGGCCCCCAATTCACTGCCTTGGCATTTGAACAGTACCTAGCAGACCGGGGGGATACGCCACGCTTTAACATTGCCGGCTCACCCTGCGGCCAACGGCAGGGCTGAACGAATGGTCCAATTCACAAAGAAAACCTTACACAAGATGGAGCAAGGGAACATCCACGACAAGGTGACCAGGATGCTTCTCCTCCAAACAGCACCACGAACAAAACCCCAGCCGAACTCTTTATGGGCAGGAAACTTCGATCACACCTTGACCGCCTACACCCTGCCTATACGCCGGAAAAGCCCCTGGTTCCAGCAGCAAGTATCGCACGTTCAAGGTAGGCGACCCAGTTTTTGCAAAAAACTTTTCCGGTGACCCATTGTGGGTCCCCGCTACCATAACTCAACTTACGGGGCCCCGTTCCTACCGTTTACAAACTGCTGATGGGAAACTGTGGAAGCGCCATATCGACCAACTACGCTCCAGACTGGCACCTACCCCCGTCACAAGCCCTGAACTTCAAACCTGGGGGGGGAGGGAAATCGAGGGGGCCGGAAAAGAACTAGTATCCGACCCAGTACTCGAAACCCAGCAATCAGCGCAACCAAACCTAGGATATTCACCTTCCGAAGATGAGCCGGGGCAGATGGTCGTCTCTCCACGAAGCAGCACTGCGGCGTCGGCAAACCCAGAGAATCCGGATGACAGCCTTGACGGGAGTAGAGATGACAACCCCTAGTCACCCAGTGGAGAAGCCAGATCCTCATTGCCACCGAGTTCAACGAACAGCCCACCGGAACCAGAGTCCGGGCAAAGACTGGTAGAGCAACGCAGATCAGGTAGACAGGTGAGACGACCTGCCTACCTGCGAGAATACATCACCCCACCCTTGAGATGGAACCTGGGGGGAGAGGTGTTCCGAACTAAGCAAGCTCGTTGGCTTGCAATTCTAATAGTTTTCTTTCCACGACAGGTTTGTAAACCTGCACTTCTGATTGGCCCGCTGATAGCGGATCGTGATAGGTTGTTTTTGGCTGATCTGATTGGCTGACAGCGGGTCGCCGCTGATTGGACGCTCCCAGCACGGCAAACTCAAACCATTGGGTGTTGTGACAGCAGCCAGCTCTATAAAAGGAGCCGCTGCTGCCCAAGTCTTTTCGCTCTGTTCTGAAGTCACTAATAAAGAGTTGGAGTCACTATTTCGATGCCTCGTCTCCGTTCTTGCGCCCACGTTCCCAGACATAACAGAATCCTTGGGGTCTTCCTTCAGAGGTTGGAAACTGAGAGCATTGTTTTGCAGTCCTGCTCCTTCCTGAATGGACAGTTCTAGTGGGTGGTAATGGGTGAAGAGGGATTTAACCATATTCATTAGCACAATGCAGGGTTCCATATAGTTCACTTTCTTTCTTGTTGTTTACCTGAACTTCCTGGAAAAGAACTTCCATTGGTTTGGAGTATTAATGATATCCAAATATATATCTGAATCCCAGGCACTTCCTTACACTCACACAATCTTACTCCAATTCATCAAAAATCTAAGTGAAGAAATTGGAGCCAAAAAGAGGTTGGCTGTTTCAGAAATACACCAGAAAGAACACATATGGAGTAAATTTTGAAGAAGTACCCTCAAGACACAGCTATATGGAATGCATCAGTAATTTGTTCAGCACAACTACTTTTTTTTTTTACCAAAAAGATAATTCTCTCACCCCAAAAGAAAGAGAAAGTAAATAATTTTAAAAATCATAAAAATGTGAATCATGATTGGTTTGACATCTCTAATTAGGTTTGCCAACTGTAGCTAAAATCAGTCCTATACATTTCTTTCTTCTCTTTCCAATAAGTCTATATCTGTACACAAACACACACCCATGCATACATACATTGCCAGAAGCCATATTGCAAAAGAAGGGCTAGGGTGATAAAATATTTTATTCATAAAAGTTGCTTGTAAAATAAGATACCCATTTAAAAATATCTATCTACCTGTATCAACCGTTCTCTCTCATGTACACATAAACACACACACACACACATTCCTTTCTCCCCAGCAGAACCGGCATAAGAGAAAGAAACACCCCCACCCACCCTTCCAAGAGTGAGGCAAAGGTGACAATGTGACAGGGAAGGAAAGAGAAAACTGGGAAAAGAAACAGGTGTAGATAAAATGAGGGGGGAAACTGGAGAGCAAAACAAAAAAGAACTTATGTTTAAGTGTTACTAAATGATTAAATTTACCAGGCAAATGGCTCTACTCAAACAGCAATTTATCTTCAATGTATAGGTCAGCCACCAAGTTTTTCAGCAGGATATTTTCAGCCATATTCACTTTTTTTCCCATTCATGTGGTAGCACCTAGCTGACTTGGCCTGATCTCAAAGAAAGCTATCAATCAGAATAGAGCTGGAAGGGACCTTGGAGGTCTTCTAGTCCAGCCCCCTGCTCAAGCAGGAGACCCTATACCATTTCAGACAGGGGACAGTCCAATCTCTTCTTAAAAACCTCCAGTGATGAAACACCCACAACTTCTTAAGGCAAGCTGTTCCACTAGTTAACTGTTCTCACTGTTAGGAAATTTCTCCTTAATTCCAGGTTGCTTCCTTGTTTAATTTCCATCCATTTTTCTTGTCCTTTGGAAAATAAAATGGACACCCTCTTCTTTGTGTCAGCCTCTCAAATACTGGAATACTGCTATCATGTCCCCACTCGTCCTTCTTTTCTCTAGACCAGCCAAACCCAAATCCTGCAACTGTTCTTCATATGTTTTTGCCTTCAGGCCTTCAGTCCTCTTAGTTGCTCTTCTTTGCACTTTTTGCAAAGTCTCAACATCTTTTCGGTAATGTGGTGACCAAAACTGGATGCAGTATTTCAGGTTTGGTCTTACTAAGGTTTTATAAATTGGTACTAATACATCACATGATTTTCATTCTATGTCTTTGTTTATACAACCAAGGATTGTATTAGTTTTTGGCTGCTGCTGCACACTGATGACTCATGTTTAAGTGATCATCCACTAGGACTCCAAGGTTCCTCCCACAGTTACTGTCTTTGAGCCAGATTTCGCCTAACCTGTAGTTGTACCTTTGGCTTTCCCTGCCCAGGTGTAAAACCTAAGTGGGATCAACTCGGTTATTTACTTAGGTTGGGAGATCCTTGAGAACTCTCAGGATCAGAAGTTGGATTGTGAAGTCAACATCTTTCCCAGGTAACTACAGTATTTGGGGAGGAGAAACCCTCATTTTCCTATCGTCTTTGGTCTTCATGCAATTTCCCCAGAATCTACAAAAATGAATCATCTGAGCTCTTGGCTTGATATGTTTTCATTTCAGGTGTCAGCCATGGAAGCCATAGTTGTATTAGCCATATTGTCAACTCATAAAACATTTCCTGACACATATATATTAGAAGCTTCAAGACTGCCACAGTTGGTGCCTGGGAATTTGGGAGGGGGAAATTCTTAGTGAGATTAGACTCAACATTTTTCTCAAAAGTCAAGGACATGTCATCCTGCACCTGAATGGGAGTGGGCAAGGGTTTGTCTTCAGATAAAATGATGTTTGATTGGGCCATGTGATGGACAGATGGGTTCAGGGGATGGGTCTTTGATTTTCACATGGGGAAGGGAAAACCCGGAAGTTTCAGATTTGGGTTTTTCCAGATGTCCCAACATGACTTCTTTAATAAATTCTTACTTGGATGGACTTTGTTTCTGAGTGCTGAATGAAAATGGGGAGTTTCTTTGGAACGCTGACATCAGGTTTGGTTCACAAGTAGGGATACACTTAACTTACAATTCAGGCGAAGACTGAAATATTCCATTTTAATTCCAGATCACACCAATATGGCCATCCTGGAAGTCATCTAGTGGTTGAACATGTGCAACTGATGTTCTTCTTCATTCCGAAGAACAGAATATTCTGCAATTATCCAGAATGTTGCCTCAAAACAATAACTTTTGCACATAACTATTTAAAAGGCAGTTTTCTTTCAAGAATAATTCCCAACATGACTAATAGAAGATCAATATTAAAAATAATTCCACATTACTGATGCAAAACAAGTAACTCTCTGTAAATGTATAACTAGACAATGTATTAAAATCCATAAAAAGTCATTCAGCCATTCTCAATGGTACAATAACAATCATGCAAATATCAAAACAGATTCTTATCTTTCAAAAATTAACTTCATGAAATCCCTGAAAACACTAATAAAATAAAAATACTAACAAAACCATGTATCCTCCCAGGAATATTACTGTGATCCTATCTGGGAGGTGCATGAAGAAAGCTCGACTGCAGATAACAATGCAATACACAAATACATTTAAAGATAATTTCAACTTTTATGGTTTTTGCATACACATTCAGATCTTTTCAGTCCAGTTTGCTGGGAGAATTACAGCACTTGCTTTTCAAAACTCACAAACTAATGCCATCGGCACAAGGGACAAATATTTCATTGTACGTAATTGTGCAGATATTGGATGCATTCAGCCACTTTTACCGCAAGCTTTGTGAGCTGCAACAATACACTGATAATGCAATCTTGCTCTTTGGCATTTATATTCCATCTATACAAAGTACAACGCTGGCATTTTTCAAGAAGAAAATGTAATCCCTTTGAATAAAGATGATTTTTCTGCTTTCTAAAAAGAAGCAGTACTGTAGTGCTGAATCTTCCACATACATGCTTTCGAGCCCTTCCAATTATTAGAGTACTACTTTTACACAAATTTGTGTGCACGTGCATTTCTCTCAGCTGAACATTAACAGAATAAAAAGCAATTCTCGGCTGGTATTAAGCAAAATTCCAGTTTGCAAAAACATCCAAATAAATATTAGGTGAAAGTCTAAGATTACTTCTTGCAGAAAGCCAAGGCATCTTAAAATGGAAAATATTACTATTTCAGGTATTATTCTTTTTCTTGTATCCTTATATTTTCTTGCCTCTGTAGAACTAAAAGAAAATTAAGATACTGGAATTCAATGTATTGCTAATATAACAATTGATGAGCCAGAAAAGCCATTATGAGAGAGACGGACACATTAATTTTTCGGCCCAGTGTCAAAACCAATTTTTTTGTGAGAATTGGCCAAAATGCATGCATCAAAAGACAATAGGAGAATATGCTTTACTGAAGAGAAAAGGTGTATCCAAATTTATCTGCAGCTTGTTATATGCTTTTTAAAAAATTACTTTTGTCCTTTAAATACAATGAGGCCATCTATAAAACTAAGTTCCCTGTTAAGTTACTACTTCAGATAAAAATTTGTTATGTTGACATAGGGAACATAGGGGAGGCAGGCGCCATCATAAAATTAAACATTATTGAATCTTTTGAAAGCCTTAACGATCTTTCCTTTTATTTCATTGTATTAAAATGTTCGCAGCTGTGTGTCCTAATTAAAACATCAACAAAACCCAAATCGTCAGCTTACATAATGTGAACCCAGACAAATGAAAAGTAAAATGCAAGTCGATTGTTTCTTCCAATGGGGAGTGGTGTTCAAAGAACAAATGCTTGCGTTCAATTGCAAATCTGCCACGCATGAACTCAGTTCATGAAACTAATTCCAGAGGCTGACTCATGGTTGGACTGAAGTTGTGCAAGCATGCATTCCTGTGAGGACCAGCCTGATGGCATGGCTTTTTATTCAAGAGGAAGGGGTGATGGTGGAGAGAGATATGTGCATTTGAATCAACAGGCTCACAATCACACCCAAAAGAAATCTAGGCAGAGCTGAGTATAATAGTGTGGAGGAAGAGCACTTCCAGAGAAGGCAAAGCCTTGAGTCAGTGTTGGAGGGTCAGTGTGTTCTCAGTTTGGTTTCCAAAGACTTGGGAGAAAAAATCAAAAGCCAAGCGGACATGGATGGGGATGAAAACGTAGGCAGTGTACACCACCATAGCAACAATAGTAATTATTATAGTATCAAACATAGATCGTTCCCAAGGCTCCAGGACGTAACTGCAGGTAACCAGGAGATACTGAAAATGCAGCCAGTAAATGTAATCCTTAATTTTCTTCAGATCCATTGTTGGCTCAAATGTCAGGAAACCTAAGAGAAAACAGACAATGTAGAGTTACAGTGAAAAAAGAAAAGTTATTATATGGTTATCAGTGTTTTTAAAAAAGAAATATCCTTCACCTGATGTATTGCTAACATATCAGAGCTGCCTTAAATGAACAAGTCCACCATAAGTACATCAAGCCAGGAAGTGGATAGAAATCTCTGTCTTGAATTCTCAACCATGTGGTACAGCTGCTCTTTTCGACTGTGGGAATGGCTGTGCCATAAAAGAGCAAGTCCTGGACCATCACTGATTTTTGAAACCCCTATAATCTTTTCCCTCCCACAATATTTGGTGAATGAATCACTGGAAGCATTCAGAGATACTGAGCCTGAGCCTCTCCTTCCCTCAGTGCTTGCAGGGTGCAAATTTCTGCTACAATTTAGGCCAGAGGAAACATCACTGATGTAAGGTGTAAAGAGTTGCTTCCCTTTAGGACAAGCCACTGCAGGAAACTATACAGAATAACAGAGTTGGAAGGGACCTTGGAGGTCTTCTAGTCTAAACCCCTTCTCAAGTAGGAAGCCCTATAATATTTCAGACAAATGGTTGTCTGTATTCTCTTCTTAAAAACCTCCAGTGCTGGAGCACACACAATTTCTGAAGGCAAGTCATTCCACTGATTAATTGTTCTAACTGTCAACTAATTTATCCTTAGATCCAGATTGGTTCTCTCCTTGATTAGTTTCCATCCATTGCTTCTTGACCTGCCTTCAGTTGCTTTGGGGAATAGGTTGATCCCTTTTCTTTGTGGCAGCTCCTTAGATCAGGGGTGTCAAACTCGCAGCCCATGGGCTAGATGCGTCACAAATGGGCCCTGCCCTTGCCTGGTTTAGTGAAGGGGAAAGAAGTCCCGATACATCACGTGATGCCGCCGTGACGCCTTTGACACTCTTGCCTTAGATATTTGAGCAATGCTATCATGTCACCCATAGTCTTTATTTTCATTAAACTAGACATAACCAACCTGCAACTGTTCTTCATATGTTTTAGCCTTCAGTCTACTGATCATCTTTGTTGCTGTTATCTGCACTCTTTCTAGAGTCTCAACATCATGGTGACCAAAACTGGATGCAGTATTCCAAATGTGGTCTTGCCAAGGCATTATAAAGTGGTACTAACATTTCACATGATCTTAATTCTATCCCTCTGTTAATACATTTCATTCAGTAGTCACTGAATGATACTGTTAATAGTGAACAGTATTCACTATTCCATTCAATATTCACTTTCATCTCAACTATTTCTGAATCAATCTTACTTCTATTATACACGTAAACTGGCAGGTTGGAAGAAAGAAGGCTGGGTTAGTTTTCCATGGGAATTCCATGGACCCAAATTAAATATGGGTTCCCAGTTTAGTATTTTTTACCAGAAGATGTGAATTATTTGACCTCTTGCATCAGACACATAACTGAATAATGGAGTCACTCTTCTATACAGTGGCACCGCCACAATGGAATATTGTTAGGTGCAAGGAACCATACAAGGAGCTGATCAGGGGAGTATGTTTATTGTTCCTTGATTGTAGACAAGAATCTTGCCAGACTAAAGTAATCACTATACAACTAGGATACTAGATAAGCAGATTTTAGGAGGATTTTCTTCAGCCTCTTCCTTCCCATCAGTGACTCAAGGCTAGCCAGCCTTTTCACTCATCCCCTGAACTGAGCTCCAGATTACCACAAATGCTGAAGATCCACCTGATATTTATGTTATGTATAATATTTGTTATCGAGCAAAAACACTTGTAGTTATTCAATTATTTTAAACTATTGCAAAACTGAAAGGGCATTACAATCTCCCACCCCGTTTCACTACCCCACTTCTAACATTCCTCAAAAATATTTTTCTTGGAGCAACACATAAGGGAAAACCTGAAAAACAGCTTCACCTTCTTCCATTAAGACTGGTTTTTCTAGCTAATCTGATACTTAGCACATCTAAGATTGGTTCAGTCTGTAGAGATAAAGTCAGAGGACTTATTCCCAATGAGAAAATAACTGTTACTTACATAAAAGCAATAGCTTAAATGTAGAAAACCTACTTTGTTTATAGATGTTCTCAATTTTAGTATCCCCAGCTATATCTCTGAAATATTCCTGCTAATCAGTTTGAACCAAACTGTTACATGGACCAACAATCTGGCTGTATTTATGCATTTTCTATTTATACTTTTTCAATATTAAGAGTATCCAAAGAGCAGACTGTTAAAGACTTTGTTAGAACTGAATAATCAATTAGGGTCCAAAATGAATGTCAAATTTAGATAACCTTTGGTAAAAATGTAGATGTAACTCAAAGAAATGATTCTTATACTCTGAAGCAGCATGTGTGTTTAAAATCCAAACCAAGATTAATTGTTTTTTATAGATCGAACATTGTAATAGTAAAGCTACCACCTAATTAACATTATCTTAAGCTGCTCCCTACGTACATTGTCTGGTTGTAATGTCAGTACAACCAGACAATGTACATAGACAGAATTATGTCCAACATAATTCTTTCTGAAATAGATATTATTGAATTTTTATACTGCAGACAGTTCTTTTTCCATACTGTGTGTTTACTTGCTTAATACTCTTCCAGTCAATATTCTGAGTGGTTCTTTTAGAATTATTCATTAATCCATTTGCAGAGCAAACAGTTGGATCACTCCAACTTACCTCAGATCTTGTTAGACGCAGCCTGGCAGGTCAGAGACCTTTGCTTTTATGTTTTTCCAGCTGCTTATTTCCATGCCTTCTATGTAACAAGTGGGTAAATCAATATTTCACAACCCCACTAATGCCTTGGAGCAAGTAGAAAAGCAGGTCCTGAACATTGCTACCCCAGAGGCCAAAATGGTTTAATTTACAACAATTTTGTATTGAGTGTTACTCATATGTAACAGAAAGCAGGCACCACGTTAGATGCATTTTCACATATTTAATGCCTGTCTGCCTGCATCCATCTATCCATAAATTTACCTGATATCCACTGATTGTACATTCTATCCCAATGACCTATAAATCAATAAAGTTCAATAAACAACTTCCATCCTAGTAGTTGATGAAAGCATTTTAAACTGAATGAAAGCACAGCAACCTTGAACAATGTATCATGATGAAAGTTTAAGTTAAAGAGACTTTTTTACAAGCTGAAGTTTGTTCAGTCTGTCCTTTGCAAAAGAATACACATGGTTATGCCTCTTTGTACACTGACTTTACTAGAAAAGATAGCCAGACAAAGAAATACAAATACAAACAATGTGCCTATACAATTCTTGTTTCACGGTTGCATTGTTTGGTAATGGAGCACTTGGTCAGTGTATGTTGTTTTTCAATATACTCATGTTTCTAATTTGCAGTTATTTTCTCTGCTGATAAGGATATATAGGAAAATGACTGCTGTTGTTTTCTTTTTCTCTTGTGAATTTTATTCCTTTGAAGATTAATTTTTTTTATTATGGTGAGGCAGTTGTCTATGGGTCTGTGTGGGAGTGCAATAGTTTGTTCCTTATCTTTCTACACCTGAAAGAAAATGAATCCTGCATTCAAATTTTATTTATTTATTTGTCAAACATGAACAAGGTAGCAGGTAAAGTATGAACATAAACATGAACAAAGGAAGTAAAGATAAATGGGGACAATAAGACAGGGAGAGAAGGCATGCTGCTTATACACGTACTCTTTATGGACTTCTTAGGAATGGGGTGAGGTCCATGGTAGACAATTTGAGGTTGAAGCTATGAGGGTTTGAGGCTGTAACAACAAAGTCAGATAGAGAACATTCCAGACATTGACCACTCTGTTGCTGAAGTCGTATTTTCTGCAATTGAGTTTGAAGCAGTTTACCTTGAGTTTGTATCGATTATTTGCCCGTGTATTATTGTGGTTGAAGCTGAAGAAGTCATTGATAGGTAAGACATTGTTGCAGACCATTTTGTGTACTATGCTTAGCTTGGACCACAGGCGGCATAGTTCCAGATTATCCAAGCCCAAAATTTCAAGCCTGGTGGCGTAAGGGATTCTATTGCGAGTAGCCGAGTGGAGTACTCTTCTCATGAAATACCTCTGAACCTGCTCAACTGTATTAATATCCAATATACAGTGAAAATTCCAGGAGGGCGAGCTGTTTCATTGGTTTGGCAAAGGTTTTATATGCCCTAGTTAGCAATACAATGTTACTGCACAAGAAACTTTGCAGGATTAGATTAACAACTCTTAATGCCTTTTTGGCAATGCTGTTACAGTGAGCTCTGGGGCTTAGATCATTTGAGATGAATACTCCTAAAATCTTGACTGAGTGGGGTTGTCTACAAGATCGTTTCCGCCTACTTGTATTTGGTATTCTGATTTTTATTGCCAATGTGTAGGACAGAGTATCTATTCGTTGAGATTTGTAGTTGCCAGTTGCATGACCATTCTGACACATAGTCAAGGTCACTTTGTAGGGCAACAGCATTGTCAGTGGTGTTAAATAATTTTATGTCATAAGCAAAGAGGATGCAGCTGCTTTTAATATGACCACTAGGTCGTTGATGTAAAGCAGAAAGAATGTGGGTCCTAAAACGCTGCCTTGGGGGACACCACTATTAACTGGTGCCGGATTTGATACGGCCCTCCCTATTTTGACTATTTGTTGCTTGTTTGACAGGAATGCGGCTATCCACTTGTGCAGGGATCTGGAAATGCCATAAGAACTTAGTTTCAACAGTAGTTTGTCATGCACAACTGAATAAAAGGCTTTACAAAAGTCTATGTAAATTGTGTCTATTGCTTTACGCTGGTCAAGATTATGTTCAAATGTTTTTGCAGTGTAGGAGTTGCAGATTACAGGACAATTTTTTTTTTAAACCAAACTGCTTGTTAGAAAGCAGATTGTTTCTTTTTAAGTGGAGGGTGATGGGTTGATTTATAATTGATTCCATGACTTTACAGGTGATGCAACACAGTGAGATTGGTCTGTAATTTTCTACTAGACAAGGTCTCCCTTTATAAAGATA